CGGGCGACTTGACCGGTTACCATCCAAGGCGAGAAACTTTTTAGGGTGGCCGATTTCCATGATTAACTCAGTTGATAAAACCAAATTATGTAAGGAAGAGAGCATCGAGTAGCAATTGTATGACTGCTACCTGGCATCTGGTCATGCAGCTAAATTTAAATTATGTTGATTAGCGTCGTTAAAACAACATTGTAACACTCACGTTCCTAGGGCCCATTTCTAGAAGGTCCTGGTAACTTAATGGCCCCGTAAAGCTGTTCTGTTTTTATTCACAATGGAGGTTTCAAAAGCATTGAGAATTATACAGTAAAAGTAGCAGCATAAGAGACAAAATGGACTGGTTAGGGCGCCAGAGCATACTTCTCTATTCTTTAACTTTTGATTCTAAAATGTGGCTTCGGGCCTATTAAGTTACCGGAACTTTCGAGAAACGGGACCCTGGACGCTCTATTTTGCCTGATTTAGGCCCCAGTTTTATCTTTTATCTTCATCGACTTCTACTTAATCGACAGAAACTGGGGTAACGCACATGTAAAGTAAGTCAAACCGCCTCACACTACTGTTGGGAAAATGTCTGCTCAGATGAGATCATTAGGTATGTTTGGGACTTTTTCATTCATCGTTTATGAAGCTCACTCAGCTGTTGCAGAACTTCAAATGGATAAAGGAGGAAAGCTTTTAGAGAAACTATGGTGCTGCGTCAGTGGGAGGTGTAAAAATATAATTTTGTTTTATCAGCTGAGTTAATAATGTAAAGGGGCCACCATATAGAGTTTCTAAACCTGATGTTCGGCTAACTCCGACGACGGGCTAACGCCCGAAGCGTCAGCTTTATAAACCCTTTACGGTATTTAATTCAACTCAGTTGGTAAAACCAAATAATCTTGTCGTAGAACAGTGTTCATTTACAGCTGCACTGGTCAGAGACAGGAGGACAAGAAGGTGAAAATGCTCCCTTTCCACCCCCACCTCCCCTGCCCCCCTCCCCCTTCCTATTCTACTGACCTTCTCCCCCCCCCTTGCCCCCATTTATACACCCCTGTACATGTACCTACCATTTACTAGTTTTGCATACTTGCGGTTCAAAGACATGGAACTTCTACCCATCACCTCACCAATACCAACCCAATCTGAGCCATGTATTTCAGCCAACCTGGGTGAAAATGAATAGAAACTGAACTCCATAACAGCAACAAAAAAGACATTATTCTATACACTGGATGTTTAACAGTTCATCAGTGGGCTTGAATGTAATAATTTTTTTAAACTTGCGGAAATCTAAACACAGTCCACCTATTATTGGTTACTGGGTGAACTGTACCTTTTCAATTTTTGAATCTCACTTTCAGTGTACCTGCAGAAAAATTAAAACACATGAAAACAATGAAGAGCACGACACAAATGATCAGTTAAATACACACACAAAACAACAACAACTAATAAAATCCTTTCATTATCCATCAAACAGGTAATGAGAATACTCAAACTTATCAGATAGAAGTTGTTATCATGATCTTAACACCAAATTCTCACAACTAATTTGCAAGGAAATGTGTAGCAGCTAAAGGGGAAAATGAACAATCAAATCTTGGAAGTTAAAAAGTTCAGTGGTAAAATGGTTAGATGCTATCAAAGATCTGCTGCACTGTGGAAATTGATCATTTAAACAACAAACAAGGTGCTTTTTCAAAGCTACAAATTTTACAGAAAATTGTAGCCTGTAGTGCTGGCCAAGATTTTCTGTAAGTGTTCTGGTTGGAGCAGTGAACTGGCCCCACGTGGTTGGAAATTTTTGTCTACAGACATTCATTTGCCTCACTACGTTGCACTTCTTTTTACATGCATTTCACTATTTTAAAGACACATCAACGTTTCCTAATAGTTAGTTGTAAAGCATTACAACTGAAGCAAGTTTAAAATGTTAAAGGTTCACTAAAGTAAACCTATGCCTTCAGAGTTGGGTGCTGAATTTCAATGCTGCTGAAGTATGAAATCTGTGTCAACACAAAATTATATAAACTCACGTTCCAACATAATTCTTTTCATCATAAATCCTCCTTGCACATTGGTAGATAGAAAGCGGTGACCTTTGGATACCTTTACCTACAACATCGTTGAATATTGACAAACATTCAAGGGTGTATTAAAGAGAGGTCAAACCGTTTTAAGTCAGAGAAATTCTCATGTTTAAACAGAAGAAATTCCAGTATTACTGACATCAAATATCCCCTTAATAAGGTTAAGTTTATGTAGATAGCTGTATCTACATGTACTGTAGGTAGTGTAGATACATGTAACTGCAGGGACCACAGGCAGTCATGACAGCCACACCAGAGAAGACATAGAATAAAAAATGAAATCATTTTATATTTCTAAAATGTAGTTAGAATTTTGCGCATGGCTGGATGTGTTCACTGTCCATTACAGCACCACACTTCAACTCCAACATAACATATATGAGCAACATTCAGTTCCAAATGGAAACTGAAATAATTTGCCATCAGGGTTTCTGTTCTCAGACCACACAAATTGTCAATTAAAAAATCAAGTTCTGTTTTTAGTTACAAATTTGCAAATGGCTGGATGTGTTTACTTTCTCTTAAAGAGCCATGCCTCAACATCATCATAACATACATGACAGTGTTTGTTTCCAAATGGCAACATAAATAATTTGCCATCATGGTTTCTGATCTCAGACTGTGCAAATTTTGGTGATTTCAAGTTGTTATTTTGTAGAGCATGGCAAAGAAATGTACAAAGTTTTAAACCACATGCTGAGCTACTGTTCTACCCTTTAGATACTTTTTTTGCCATGCCCTCCTTCATGTCCCCATCCTGTTTTGCTTAAGGTCCCTAGCATCTGTCATAGACAGTGAAGGCAGCTGTATCTACATGTAACAGAGACAGTGTTGATACATGTAGCTTTGTCTGATTCAGACATGGTAGATACATGTAGATGTAATTAAAGAGGAGAGCCTACATAGCTCTTTATATTGTGCACAGTCTTAATAAACATACATGTAGTTGTATCTACAGTACACAGAGAGGAGATTTATGCATTTATTGCAACCTGTGTGGATACCCTACATCTACTGAAAACTGTGTTACTAGGGACCTCTACTGTGGATGATTTACTGTATCTGGCATAGCAATAATAAAAGATTGTAGCTCCTTTAGTCAGTGCAGATACACTGTATCTATAACCAGATAAGGTATGGTAGATAGTTGCATCTACTGTAGACATTGCAAATAGTTGTATCTACCATAAACAGTGTATATGGCTGTTTCTACAATAGACAGTGTAAATAACTTTATCTACTGTAAATTGTATAGGCTGTATCTGAGAACAACATGATAGCTGTATCTACCACTACTACCAGACAGTTCAAGCAAAATTTTTAGGTTGTAGAACGCAAAGTGATTAGCCAATTTTACTGTAATTTCAAATCTGTTATTCCTACATCTACTTTTAATTGTGTTGTGTAATCTTTTCTAGGAATATTTTTTTTATTTTCTTAACTTTTTTTTAGGGTAAATATTGCAATTTATTTAAAATGGCAAATAATGTAATTTAACTGAGAAGAGCCATCTATGGATCTGTTAAAAAAACCATTATTATCATTATTACTATTATTATAATAATTATTATTATTTTTGCAATGTAAATGATTGTATCCACCATAGACATTGTAGATAGCTCTATCTGCAGCACTGATATCTATCTGTCTGGGTCAAGTTAATCAGAGGGCAGATAACACTATCCAAGGGATAAATTGCTATCCAGAGGATATGTGTTAGCAAAACAAACTGGGCTTCCATCAGATAGAGATTTATCCAGTGGATAGAGTAATCCACCATTAGTACAACAGGGGCCTAGAGAGCAGATTCCCAGTGTAACATGATAGTAAATGGACTAACCTAAGACTGTTGAACCAATAATTGTGTATCACAAATGTTCATGCTAAGATAATTCAAGGGACAAGAAGGATACACTTGGCTTACCAAGCTCTTTGAGAAGTTTATTTCTACGGACAAAGCGAGTCCAATAAATCCTTTCTTCTGAATCCTTATTTCGTGAAGCAAACAGGAGCCTGGCAGGATCTGAGAGGTTATGACACTAGAAAACAGATGCAGAATTTTCATTTCAATATCACCGTTAAAGGTAAATGTTTATCTTAAAGTCAGGGTGCCCAATTTCCAGAATTAATAATAGTTGAAAGCAGTATCTTGCTTTTTGCTTTTCACCATCCTTTAGTTAACCCTATATCTCCCCATATACGATTTATCTTCTCTCTTTGTGCTACACAGTTCCTTCTAAATTAGTTGAGAGGATTTGGCATTACATCACAATAACTTTCTCCATTTGATACTCTTGTCTATTCACATCATCTGTTTGTTTGATGTCATACTAAAAACGGTGAGAAGGTAGCCAAGTCCCTTCTTTAATTCAAGGGGTTAATCTCATTATTTGGAATTGTTGGTTGACTTGTTTAGGAAAAAGATAATAATGCTTTCATTTAGGACAAATTTCATCCCTCTGTGACCCTTAGATGACCACCCTACTCAAATCTTTACAGGGTTAGTAAACAGCTTGTATTCTTTTCACTTTCAGGGTGTGTTAATCATCCATTTATATTAAGTTGCTCAGACATCTTCACTGTCAGCAAATAAAGGATACTACAAACTTAAGACAGGTGTAGAAAAGAAGGTAATCTTAAGTAATCTGACTTTTAGTGTAAATCATGTTACAGCTAATATACTAGCTATGATATCAATAGATGAAATAACATAATTTATCTTCTCATGTTGATAATTAACCGATCAGATAAGTTTTAATCAGCAGGTAAGTGTTAACAAAATGTTCTGCTCCATCCACCGAGTTAGGGCCCTGCATTGGGTCAATATTTGCCATCATACCTTCAGAAATTGAGCCATGTTATATCTTAACAACTCCATCTCATGTGTGGACCATTGTCCTATTCTTATGGTTATTCCTATCAAAAATTCAAATAAAAAAGAAAAATGGTTAACTTGGGAACTTTCTCCCAAAACCCTAGCTTATTCATTAAGAGATCAATTTGAACTATGCTTTACAAGATAATAAAGACATAATTGTAGCCAAATTTTCAACTGAGTGTGGAACAAAATCCCAGATTGTATTGGTTTGCATTACTTTGTTTTATGATTGATTCAGAAAACTAATGATACTTTCTCAACCAATCATATACAAAACTCAAACCAATTACAACTTAGTCGCCCGCGATTTCTTGAAACAAACTTGAAACCTGTCATTTGTGTGTGTTTATCAAAATGGACATTTGAATGATTTATTTCAAAAAATTAAAATTTTAATTTAAGATAACTTTACTTCGACAATCAAAAGATACAGTGACTGTAGAATGGTGAATCTCCATACCAGTGGTTTAACACATACTGTACTGCAATTTACAAGCAGACACTTTGTTCATTGCTCACGTTATATCTTAAACCATGGACTGAAGTGCACACACCATGCATATGTACATCTATGTTACTCAGTGACTTGTAAGAGCACTGTGGGAGATAAACAGTTACCATATCTTATACTACAACTGAAGTGATACAAATGAAATTAAAGAAAAAGGATGCTTACCTTGTTCACTGAATTCAATTCTTTGTGCTTTAGAAAGGTAGTAGTTTTCCTGAATTATCTCAGAATTCTTTATAGCTTCTGCTAACTTTGCCTTATCAAAGTTTGGCTTAACAGTTACATTCTCCGTAACTCCAGTTCTGTGATTATTGCCATTTACAACACTTTCACTGAGGGTTCTGTTTCCAATCAAATTATCTTTGCTTTTGTCTCTCTTCTTCTTTTTGTGATTAGGTCTTAGAGATACCTTTCCAGGGCTGTCTGTTGAATGATGAGTGTTTGACTGGGAAGATTCTCCTTGAGAACTTACTTCATGTTTTGACCTTTCTGGTATACACTGCTCCACAGATGCCTGCTTGTTTATATCTGTTATTTGATCACTTGTAGTACAATTTTCACCATTATTTTTTTCATCTTTCCTGTGTTTATTGACTGTACCCTCCGAAAATTCTGACAAGCGGTCTCTTTTTACTTTCTTTTTCTTTTTCTTCTTCTCTCTTTCTGAAACAATCTCTACATCACTATGCTTCTTGTGATTTTTGACTGTACCCTCTGAAAATTCTGATGGGCGGTCTCTTTTTACTTTCTTTTCCTTTTTCCTCCTCTCTTTACCTGAGACAATCTCTAAGTCACTATGCTTCTTGTGTTTTTTTATTGTACCCTCTGAAAATTCTGATGGGTGGTCTCTTTCTAATTTCTTTCTCTTCCTCTCTGTATCTGAAACAATCTCTAAGTCACTATGCTTCTTGCGTTTTTTGTCTGTACCCTCTAGAAATCCTGATGGGTGCTCTCCTTTTAATTTCTTTTTCTTTTTCCTCCTCTCTGAATCTGAAACAATCTCTAGGTCGTCACTAAGCTTCTTGTGATTTTCGTCTGTACCCTCTGGAAATTCTGGTGTGTGCACTCTTTTTAATTTCTTTTTCCTCTTTCCTGTATCTGAAACAATCTCTAAGTCATTTTTTTGTTTCTTTGCCTGAGTTTCGCATCTTTTATCGCCATTTGTGTAAGTTGCTTCATCACCATGTCTTTTCTTTGATTTTCTCGTTTTCCTGTTGATTCCATATTGATTATATTTTAGCTGTTCATCCCATTCAAGAGCTGCTGCCTCGATGATAGTCGTTGAATCGTGTACAGTTTCCAGTTCTTTTTTTTTCCTCTTTTCCGGCTGCTCCTTTTCCCTTTTCTTCTTAGGTTTATGATGCTTCCGCGATGTGCTTTTTGCTGTAGAAAAATCCTCTTGTTTGTGGGATCTCTTTTGCATTTTATCACGTTTACCTTCGACTTTTTCTCCATCTCTAACCGAATGTTCACCATTCTCGACTTGTTCGCCGTGAAGCAGGTTCAGTCGTTCAACCTCGCTTGCGGCCTTCTGTCTGTCTCTGCTTTCTTCTAACTCTCTTAAGGCCTTTTGATAACAGCGTAACATCCCGTTCCAGAAAAATCCCGTTAACTTGATGTTTAGAACAGACTTCAAATTCGCACAGTTGCGTCCGCCATGTTAGAAACATTTGAAAGTCAAGGGAGATAGGGCCCAGACTCTCTCGGAAGACTTGGATACTTTTAAAATATAAACCTGGATAGGACTTTGGTCGATTTCTTAACGGACTGTGGCCTACGTGTAGCCGTACCCTTCTCCCCCGGAAGCCTCCGTTTCACCCTCAGTGGGGGAGGGTACGGCTACACGTAGGTCGTCTGGGACTGGTCAGTAATGCTTGACTACAATAAGGAAAGTTTTCAACTGACATTTCTTGTATATTCAAACTAATGCAACAGAATTTCAGAAAATGTAACCAACAAAGTTAACCAACTTCACTGGTTTTATGTTGATTATCTAGCACAAAACAATGTTCTATGAGAATCACTGGAGGAGCGTTGAGGCGAGGGAAGCTCAGCAGAAGAGTGTGGGGGGGAGGGGTATGAAAGTGCTTTAGCACCCAAGCTACTCCGTATTTTGATAAATTTTATGCTAGAACAAAAACTTCCAGAGGAAGTAAATCTTATCTTTATTCTTCTGTAGTGGATAACGGAAGGAACTATGTGAACTCAATATTTTCCCCATAAAATTTCTATTGGTAAAAGAAGTAGAATTGTCTTCAATTCGCACTTGAGCAGTGTCTATAATTTGGATAACACCAACACATTTAAACACACAGCGACCCATACCGGTGTTTCGATGATAACCTTAGTCGTCCCCCACGTGTTCTTTGACTCAGAAGAAAAAACCATAACCATGACTCATATGTAAACAGTTAATACCTTGAGGCCTCCATCAAGACACCTCATCCTGACATTTTTGAGCTCTGAGATTCACTAGATATTTCGATATATTCACTGTTCTTTGAACATATGTTTCCATGCAACCGATATATTTATCTCTAATTTATACATTATTTATAGATAACACATAGATGTCTGAGTACGAAATATCTTAGACAGTTTCATTTAGAATTATGGACACGAGTGGAAAAATGGGAGTTGCTCCTTACTCGCGCGTTCTCCCTTGAATCGCGCGAAGCTCTCTATCCGCCCGTCGCTCTGGTTTTGAAAAAGTCTTACAAACGAGAAAAATGGCAAGAATCCCAACTTAATCAATAGCCGACATATGTTTTAAATAATGCCGACCGATAAGAAGAATGACACGTATTTTCAAGTGATGAACAGGTTAGAAAAAAGCTGAAAGTTCCTCCTTCCATTCCGGCATTTCTGAATTATTCAGCTGATTTCTTCCATGCCCGCGGCTTGCTGGCGTAGAACTTCTCCGTAATCTCGCTTGACGATTGCTATGCGTATTGAGTCTGACATGAGACAAAGACTCTAATAAACGAGCATTTGCGTTCCGAAGATTGTCAATTTCTAACTTCTGTGAGTGCAGTTTCTTCTCCAGTTTTAGTCTATCGTCTTTTTCAGGCTGCGATTTTAACAAATCTATTTTCTTTCGCAGTGATTCGATCTGCCTGTCTTTTGTGGTGACTTCGTTGTACAGCGACTCGATTGTGACTTCCCTAGCTTCGAGAAGTGTCTTGATCTCGGCTTGCTCCTTTCGAAAATCCCCTTCTAGGAGAAGAAGTTTGGAAATAATGTCATTCATCTCTTGATCATAATCTTTCTTTCGCTGTTCTAGCTCCTGCTCTTTCTCTTGTAAATCATAAGTCAAGTCCAGAGTTCTCGCTCTTTGTATCTTCAATTCTGTCCTGACTTGAAATATTTCCTTGTGAAGTCGTTTGATTTCTTCCTTCAGAATATTTACATTGGCCTCAAGCTGAAATCAAGAGAAGGAGAAGGGAGGTAAGAAAGTGAAGCGAGTAAGAGTTTGGGAAGCTCATTTCCTGCTGAGGGAAGAGGGAGGTGCTTTAGAATGCTTAAAACAAGACTTAATCCACCCTAAGTAACTGGGAAACTTTTTGTAAACAAAGCACATTTAAGTGGGTGTCGCAGTGATAACAGACTCTGTTAACGTTTCTTCTGTTATATAACTATCTTTATATATATAAAAAAAAAATCGGCTAAAGTTGATCCGCGAAGGTTTGGAGTAACCTTTACACATACATATGTCTAAACTTGTAGGCGAGATCACTCAACATCGAGGCTACGAGACTTGGGACGACAGAGTGATAAAAGTATGAGACCTGCATGCTTCCTTCATGCAAGAGTCTCGTCCGAGGTTGTTTACTCACCGCGTTCGAACACGACTCATAGAATATCACAATGAACAAACCGGAAATGGAAACAATGTTGTAACAGTTAACACGGTAAACAGGAAGGCCAAGAATTCCGGTCTTCGGTTAAAAGCACTTATCATGTGATTATTGCGTGACCACATTTTTGACGTCGGTAAATTCAACGGCCATTTCTATTTTTAAATTTGTGATGAAAGAAAGAAAAAGAAAAGCGAAACGCTCCGACATCTTTAATTTCAAATTTAAAAACTGGAAACGTATGTGGCAGGAGACGGATCGATATCATTAATTCCTGAGAGAGATCTGCATAGTGAAACAAAGAAGTAAAATCCTGGTACTATAACAGTGAAAGAATGAAAACAATACAATGATTATTATTATTTCCATCGGATCAAATTTAACAGAGACGGCATACAAACACTAAGGCCTGCTTTCTCTTTAAGACTTATTCACTTTTGAGTAGTTAGATAACCTGTTCATTGTTTGTTTGTGTGTGGTCTTGAAGTGCTGTTTTTCTTTGGAGTGTATTTGATCAACTTGCAAGCTGTTGCCAGCCAGCTGCCTGTGTTTGGTCGGTTTTCAAATACAAAATAGGCAGCAACAAATCAAAGGGCCAGAATTAACTTTCTGGAGCGGACACCTCCTTCGCAAATTTAATTGAAACGCTCGCCTTTGATAGAAATATTTCACTAGACATTTTTTTTCCGAGGTTAATTCGAATTTAGCGGTCCTTCGACGACATGTGTCACAAAAAAGCATCAGTCGATAATAAATATCCCACCATGTTAACAGAGTCGTTCGGTGTATATACTCTGAGCTACAAAATCACACCGATCAAGAAAGCAAACTTTCCTATAACCACTAAAGCAGTTCCTATTCTAGTGTATTGTTTACGATCGCTTGATGTACCCCTAAATGATCGGTTCAAGTCCCGTCAAAGGTCGACAGTCTTTAATATAATTGAGTAAATGGACTTATTACCGGTCCTTTCTTGATGTTACGATCACTTACCTGGTTCCTATTCAATTTAGGGCTCTTGGAGCTCATTTCAGTGAGTGTGCTGGCCTACCCAGCAAGAGGTTATGGCTTGAAATCTCGGCAACGAGAAGTGTCCGAGAACGTGCTTTTTCGCCTTGAGTAGAGGAAGCTACTACATATGCGTCCTCTTAAGTTTCTGCAAAGAATATGCCAGCAATGTGTAATCAAAATCCGTATTACGTGAATAATCCAGCCGTAGTTAATCATTTACAAATATGATATGCCATGCGGATGCGGGATTTTGCTGTGGCACATTTGAGCGAGAGAAGAACGTGGCAGTAACTGAGAAGTTTCCTTGCAATGTAGAGAGAGAGACTTGTATTTTGAGGCATTCAATACGTAGTCACCTCGCATGTTTATATACGTTGCTTGGCTGAGTGACTAGGTGCCCTGCAGATGCATAGACTAATCATCAGACATGCCCAATCTGGAAACACTCTCAAACACACTTAAGATTTTGTCAGTTGACATAATTCAAATGGCTAGAATACACAAAGCGCATTTGTATAACATTTACATCACAAAGGGGCTTTCCGTCACAACGGTGCAGATCGTTATAGGAGGTTACTGCACCCTGCCAGCAGAGGCCATGTTTAGTAGCAAGGACTGCGCAGTGGGGTGACACTTAAGAAAAATAAAAATTATCATTGGATCTGGCCATTAAAGCTAAAAAAAAGGCGAACGAAGCTATCTTTCCTTTGGAATGACGTTGAAACGCACAAAGCTAATATAGCATTCTGGTCTCGCTTCCTGAATCAATAACTGCTAGTCCTATCGACTTACTTGCAATAATGCAGCTTGCACGTCGTTTACGACATCGAAAAAATTCTTGCATGACCTCAACACTACTGACAGTTCCCATATGGTTAGTGGATTGTCGTGGTCGTTTGGGTTTACGATTCACATCGAATCAAAACCTATTTTAACTTAATTCATCTCATCATTTTTTTCTGGATCGATAATTGCTTTGAAGGAGATTTATGTCAGAATCGGGCGTTAGAGAAGCGTGATGGGAGTCAAACGGATCAAATGGAACCGATCAACTTTGAGTTGGAATCTAATCTTTGGTTATGACTCAGAATGATTAAAAAAATGGAAACTGTTTTAGCTCGATTGGTAGCGGGAGGCTTGTTTTCCAGAGCTGATTACAACCCCCAAGTACGAGAGACAAAACAGTTTGTCGGCAGCCGTAATATAAATGTTTGAAGTTAACCGCATTGAATGATGCTTTTCAATAACAGTGTTAATCACGCTAAGTGTTTCTGCTGCATCGCTATTCTTTGAATAATCCTTGGTTTGACCCCGAGTCACACTCTAGTTCTCGCTTTGTGTAACAATTGCCGAAGCGCAACGAGATCACGCGTCACATGTTTGTCAAACGCATCACATGTTGTCCAAACAACTAGCTATTTTTTGGTCATCTTGTGGGCAAAATATTTCTTCTTTACCCCTTTAACCTATCTTGTATAACGAATATTGCAGTCTGCGCCTAATTAAAACTAGCCAGCAATTTCGAAACGATGTTGAATTGGCTATTGTAAAAAAGCGTTCACTGTCTTGTCAATACACGTACAACAGTAACTTGGTTTTCACTCTCTCATTTGGAAACTTGTGCTAACTGTGTAACCATGCCGCATTTGCTCTTTAGTACAAATAAATTATGATATAAATGAGTAATAACCGATGCAGCATTAATTGTCTTCGTCGCAATGGGTGTTCTGACGTGTTTGCGTGAGCGGAGCATAGAGATGTAAACTGCTCAATAATTCTGTCAATTCTAAACGTTGG